GACAAGTCAATCTCCACTGACATATCAACTACTGTATGTCGGATCTGCCTCACAGATACAGTCGAACCCTTCCTTTGGTACACTCCTGATAAGGAGAAGGGACACCCCTATAATGAGGAAAGAATACATAAGGTGACACTTTTTCGGTCCCGAAGGTGTCCACTGGCACTTGAATGGGGTTTCACTAATCGTCATTGTGAAGACGTGCGGACTAGTAATTTAAGTAGGCCCGTGTTGTATATTGAAATGCATCGTGGTAATGATGTCTTCTGTTTAATTACTTGTCCTTGGTGTTATTGTAAAATCTGTCTCCTTTGCAACTTTCAGGGTGAATTGCGAGTATTTCGAGTGCGCCTCTGGCATCTATTATGTACTGTAAATGTTTTTTTTTTTTTGGGGGGGGGGGGTGAGTCTAGTTTGTGTTTTTTTTTATGAATGAGCAAATCATTTATGTTTTTAATTTAATATTTGATTTGTTTTTCTATTTTCAATTTAAAATAGAAGGTGTAATCAGGTGGTGTATTAACCCTCTTCTTGGTTGTAGATTAGAGCATACCTCCATGATTAGAGAATTATACATGGCAATATAGTGACGTTGTGTATGAGCGGTGGCGGTGCCTGAAAGAAATTAAAACGACGAATTTCACTGCCGGCAGTCAAGTGGAAATATCAATTCAAAACAAACACCTTATTGTAGTAAATCTCTATTCAAGTCTGTTTTATTTGACCAGTCAATCTTGCAAATTTTACGACGATACATTGTGAGTCATACTTGATTTGAATGGAATCGCCATTGCTTGCAAATGTCAAAGACTGTTCCGGACCGTCACCTCATTCCGCCGACTACGAGATAAGACTGTAATACTTGTTGATATTATTACATAGATTGTGAAATACATATTATATTACAGGCCATATTGGAAATGGAATTTGATTTATTAATATATCTAGGTTCAAGATAATGTTTTTTTTTAATTTTAAATAATCTTTTATTTAATAAGTAGGCCTACTACCTGAACAGGGTCACAATAATGATGACGTGTCCGTATTCGTTGTCGTTTTCGTAAGCTTGCGAAAACTCCCTAATAATAAGTTTTGTTCTACCTTGCAAAAGTGTGTAAAATATGAGCATTTTTAGGCCGCAAAAAAATAAGAGCACTGAGAATGGGAAAAGTTTAACTGGTTCTCAAAAAAAAAAAAAAAACAGAAGAAAATGTAACGAACAGTTCATTTTTTTCTTTTCACTTGTTGAATTGATTTATAATTGTTGTTTGCCAAGCGAAAGTTTGTATTATTCTTTCCGGGTTTTTGCCCCAATTCATTGACATCACATCTTGGCATAACCTCAAATCAGAACCAAGAAATGTTGGAAATGTTTAGTATGGAGCTCACCATTATTACTGTTTTATGTTTGCCAAGTTTCCGATTCAATAATAATCGGATGTGAATTAAACACACTACGACAGGGTTAGAACAAGGTTAGAAAAAAGTTAGACGAAAATCTGCTGTAGGAATAAGTTTGCAGCGAAAACCATTAGTGCTGAACCTTAACCCACATTCGTTCATATTCGTCGGACTTACAGTTAAATATATCATCATCCAGGACAACAATATCATTAGATATAAACATACCAATCCCACCGCCACCTTTATGCTTTCTATTCTTATATACCCATCTGTAACCACATACAGATATATTATCACTGGGTGTAACGTGTAAAGTTACCAGTTTTTGTACATAATCAATAAGATGCTGCTAGGGTGATTGGAGATTAATTAATTCTTGTGATTGTATATCCTAGATTTTATTGAGTCGACTGAGCAACGTCTATCTTTAGTAGATTTGCGGTTACAGCTTAATAAAACTTAAATTGCTTATGATGTCATTGTAAGTTAATGTTGTCGCTTACAGGAAGACCTTTGCTCATATATGTATCATAGGCATATGTTGATAATATATAGGCCTATAGGGCTATTTATTATCATAAATCAGTATCATGGAGAGAAATATAAAAAAAAAATAAGCAATTTGTTGTTGAATTCCCGTAGGAAATGCCTGTTTGAGTATCAATCCTAGCGGTAAAGTCTAATCCCAGGCACAATGCACCGACGATCGCCAGCTGACTCGATTCCAGGTAAAATGCCACTCGACGACGCGCGTTTTTACTCACTATCTGCCACCGACAGCAGACGACACCATGCCGTCAAGCACTCACACTAGACGCACATATACAATACATGAAATATTTGTCGTTCATTTCACGTCAGTATAACGCAGTAGTTTTGTAAACAGATAGAAGGTCAAGCAGCTTGTTTGCAATCAGCGACCTAGTTTTAGCAATAATAAGCACTGATATGCGTCTATACTACGCTCGTGCTTAGTATGCACGTAGGCCTACACATGTACTTGTATGAATAACGTTACGCTTGGTGATAATTAATCTTCTATACCCTAGACCTACTCAAATTGAGAATAAACATTGAAACATAAATCGCTCAGTTAAAGAACAAGTTGTCAACTTTTGTACAGACCGGGAAAAAAATCAGTTTCCTTCCAATTATCATTAGGCCCTCCTATTGACAAACAACTTAACAACAAAACCTTAAATTATCTGACAGTTGAATAACAGTAATTTAAATGATATATGAATGGTGATATTTAAACTTTTTTGCCGAGTAATTTATCTCGTTTTAATTTTCAGTCGAAAGCTATTACAAAAGTATTTAGTCAAACCAGGGAGTTGTTATATAACAACTCCCTGGTCAAACAAACGGAGACAAATCTAACATAATCTTGCACAATAACGTAATATGAGGCTCGTATACCATTGCACAACAATAAGTTATTCAATATGCTTGGATTTCCAGGTTTCTTGAGCGCAATACTTAAAATACTCTGGCAACAACTTCCGCAAGTCTGCATTTTGTATTGGTATTCATGTATGCCCATACCTATACGCATAGGAGTAATCCATTCCTTTGCTTCCTGCTAATCTTTTTAAATAATTTTATATAATTTTTTTTTTTGGTTGATGTGTGTAATTAAAGAAATGTTGGTAATTAATATTGTATCATGAATCAATTGCAGTTTGATTGCTTGTTTCTTAAATCTTTTCCTCCCAAATGAAGATGTGTATGAAATAAATACAATTCATTCTTCAACTAAATACAATATGCGGAAGTAATCCATTAGCATTGCCCAAGCTCGTAATGGAATCGACAGACGAGTTGATGATCCATAACGTTTATAAATGTTTGTGGTATCTTCAACCTCTGATCCATAGGGTATCAAACTTCTTGTGGTACCTTCAGCCTCCTTAGTTTGACTACCGGGGACCCCGTTTCATGCCGCGACCGATAAGAAAAATATTGACATTAGGCCTATTATATAAGGGCTTACACATTGATTCCAAGATTATAGGGAAATGTTCATGTTTTCCCCAATGTTTATTGTATGATGAAGGATTGTGTATTAATTCTCATGATTTATGGCAAGTAGGGAGAAGATCCACTTTGCTAATGTATTGTAATGTAATAGAATAGGAGACCACAGAATCGTATATCTTCCTTGTGGCGCCGTTTGGGAATAAACCAACGTAAACGAATACGAATATTAACTTAGTCGTATACTGTGGGTAGTCGCCCCAAAAAATCAAGGTAAAGTAGTTAAAATCACCTAAAATCATATTATTTTGCGAATTAACGACCCTCAACTAATCATCGAAACTTCCCTCCTCCCCACCTACTTCACCATTGCGCCCTCCCTCAACACCGCCATTTCAAGACTTCTAGATACACCACTGGTCGTCTAAAATAGTATAGGCCTATTCCTGGTAAACAAAAATCAGCAATTACATTTGTCATAGAATTAACGTGAAATTGTATTTACTTTATTTATTTATTTTATTATACTGGGAAGTATGTAAATTATGAAGACATCCCGATATCATAATGTCATCATGTTTATTGGTGGTAGATGCAAGATTTTTTTCCGGGGTCTTGAGTGCTAATTGAGAACCTGGTTCAAACATAGGATGGGGTATTTTTGGGTGCCCTATATTTTAATTTATTATTTAAGCAATTATGCACTTGGTTAGAGATTGTCTCGCTGCCCATGGCCAAGAGTACCTTTCCTCACGACTGTATTTTTCACTGGTTTTCTAGGAAGATGTGTTGTACATAGAAATGGTAGAATAATTACTATCATGGACCCTTAATAATGGCATGGGCCCCATAATAATGGGCCATGATACTGGGCCACTCCAGATTGACAGGAAAAAAAATAAACAAAAGAATGTTGGGCTTTCGGCGCAACGTTTCCTGCGCTTCGCGCTCGTAACTGGGGGCCCACACCAACCCTTGTTCCTGCTACAGTTTCCCCTTTTATCAGCTCTGACATTCATGTTGTGCACGGCGTCTAGAGCATATAAATAAATCGATATAGTCATTTACTATAAAATAGGCCTTTACTATTAAAACTTTATAGAGTACTACTACAGGATTGACATCTGAGAACCGACGTGTGGTGCTTTGAGTTCAATTGTCTGTGTCGTATTCAAAGGACCTAGTCCTACAGCCCTATGTTTCTTATTTCCTTCATCAGCCATTCAATTGCTGCACTATCCCCCATAGAAATATAGTTGCATAATCCCCATCAATAAGGAATGTTTTAATTTACTATAGTTTTAACGAAAAAGAAAATGTACAGTAATATATAAATGTACCTTGCTATGTGAAAGGCCTATATCATATGCTATATATATTTTTATATTATATTATACACCTCATACATACAGAGAAGCAATGCAGATGGACACAAGCGAAATGCACAGTGAGGGATTGAAAGAAACCAAACCGTTCCCGCTGAGCCAAACCAATTCCACATTTATAAAGGCTTATTATATAGGCCTAGGCCTAGGCCTATATCCTGTCTCTTATACACATCTAGATGTGTATAAGAGACAGTATATATATATATATTTGCAATTTTTCTTATTTAGGTATTGCATGAAGTTGGAATATTGGAACAATGTACGAGGTACGCTGGCACAAGTCTAGGCGCCCTTACAGCCTGTTTTGCCGCCCTGGGCATACCACCAAGACATATTATTGTGGAGGTTGAAAAGGTTCGAAAGGACGTACAAAATATGCTTCTAGGTATGTGGATTTTTTTTCTTCCGATTATATTACAGATTCCTGGCTGTATTGGAGCCGCTAAGCAGAGAGACCTTTGCCACTTAAAGGATTGACTCATATTATAATATTAGAAAGGCATGCGTGGCTATAATATACGGTAATAATTACACCAGTCTTAACCAATTCATAATTCTGATTGGCGGTGACTGTTCTAACCTAATCCATATATACATTAACTTCCAATCAGAATCAGCAATTGTTTTAAGACTGGTGTAACGATAGCAGGGGTTGTCAAGTTTTAAGAATTAATTTCTAGGAAAGCTACAGTGGAATCTACAGGAATTCGCAGTTGAAAGTGGGGGAGGGGAGTAGGGGGGACTTTCACAGATTTAGTGTAGGCTTACCACCTCAGCCCCACCTTGGTCGGGGCTGAAGTAAACACAAATTATAATTATGGCACCTCTAGATGGTCGGAAATGACACTCTCAATAGCCTATTATTATAAAAAAAAAAAAAAAAGGCTCGGCTCTTGGGAGTTCTGTTGCTATACCAATTAAGCTATAACACCATCCAAAGAGAAAAATAGAGCTTTATTTTATTCATTTCGCATAATATGCAACAACTTCACATGGTTCGGGAGAACCCCCTTTTCTGGCAAACTCCCCTCTTTTTTGGCGAAACCCCCTCTTTAAGAATGGATGGGTCTTATATAGACCAACTAATGTACTGCAGACCCACCCAGACATTTTTAAACATATCTGCTTTTATAGCATTATTTAGACCCATACAGCACAAAAATCCTCTTGCTTTGGGGGTTTCGCCGACCCCCACCGGGGCTTCGACTGTGGACCACCACGCCCAGAAACCCCCTCCCCCCACCTTGGAAGAACCTGGCTACGGGCCTGCACGCACATGATTTTTCAACTTCGTGTGAAGAAAATACCTTTTTGGGAATGAACCAAATATGTTGTGTTGTGTCCATTAGATGCCCGGTTTGGATTGCTGAGTCTGCTGCCGAATCTGAAGAAGTCGTTCGGTTGGCATCCTGCGAGAGCTTACCGCGAGTGGCTGGAAGTAAACTTGGCAGATTACGCGGGCGACAGGGACATCACATTCCGAGAGGTAAAACCAAGTTTGAAATTATTGATAATGTTTATCCACTGTGTCTGTTTAGAAAAGTCCCTTGGGAGCATCATACCGATTACCGTTATGATTTATCATTATAATACCCACAAGTATTACCATCATCATTTATCATCATCATCATTACCACCCTCGTCATATCATCATTGTCGCTGTCAACGAACTGTCGTCGATTGTCGTTTTCATTGTCAATACAAGTATCATTATCATCATTATAATTAATAATATTATTATCATCACCAAAGCCATTATCATAATCAACAACGTTGTCGACGTTATGGTCATTGTAATTATCATTGTCGTCATTATCATCATCATAATCCTAGTAATCACGATCATGCATACCCTTTGCTGAATAACCTTTGAAAATGTCATAAGCAAAAAAAGAAATACTTTCAAGTAGTTAAAAATTACCTCATATCACCATTATTTTGCGACGTAACACCTCACACTTAACCATCAAGCACCCCACTCCACTTTCGCCCCATCCACCCCTCCCTCATGACAAGACCCCTAGATATACGCCACTGATATATGATGTACTTATTTTGTCCTAGTTTTATGAACGGACGGGGAAAGAATTATGTACCGTAGCTACCAACCTAAACCAAATGTCGGCCGAATATTGCCACGTAAAGACAACACCTGAAATGCCAGTTATATTAGCCTTGAGAATGTCAATGTCACTTCCAGGTAGGTTTAACTATTAAATACCTTTATAATCATTGAGTTGGTATAATTAGGCCTATTATTTTTAGTTCCTATGCATGTAATTAAATAGGAACTATTGTATTCACTTTTTTCGCGTGTGTGTGTATATAACAAATGCTGTAAACACCACAGTTGATATACAAGCCAAGGAGTACCAAAAGCGGCCAAACTTTCTTACATATTTTACCAGTGCTTTCGATCCTGCGTTTGGATAAATTACTGTTTGGAAAGACGCCAACAATATTTTATCCGTTTCATATTGACGGTAGATTTTGTAATGTGTGGTAAAGTATGTTTACCTGGGAACAGAAAGTATAAATTGTTGACCTTATTCGAGATCACCATTGGGGGAAGATAATACGGGATGGATTTGGGTTTCTGTCTGCAATAGAGAGGTAACTTTTAAAAAGAGTTATGGTTGTTATGTTGCTTCTTTGAAAAGTGGTGTCAAGCTAGAGGGAACTGTGCAAAGATACTGTAGCATTATAAAGGAAACAAAGTCAAGCACCCACTTCGTGCGGGACAATATCAGGGTGGACCCACTTGTAAATTCAAACAATGTGAACCTATTTTACGCAAAAATATTTTTAAAAAATCTGGACCCATTTTCTTAAATTTTACACATTTTAAGCAAAAATATGAGAAATCTGGACCCATTTTTCTAAAAGTGAACCCATTTTATAATATAATAATTATAATTTGGACCCATTATTAAAAATGTGGACCCATTAGAAAAATGGTGTGGGACTGTCCCAACTGTCTCAATAGCTGGCTACGGCATTGACCATAACTACTGGGTACCCGAAGTCATATACAGTACTGTAATTTGAGCATTTATAAACTATTAAATCATATATCAGGATAAAGGTCTACTGTTAAGTGTCTATTTTGTGTAGTTGACTTTTCAAGTCTGAAACGATAAGCCATATATTGTGCTGTTTTAAGATGGGAATTTTGTTTGTGTTAGGCCTACTATAGTTTATTAGCCTTATTGTCTCCTCCTTGAAGCTTTCTACATATTTTCAGTGGTAGCTTCAGAAATTTGCCGAGTAGGGGTCCGACATGTCCTACAATGGGCCGACTAGAGCCTCGATAATAATAATAATAATAATAATTATTATTATTATTATTATTATTATTATTATTATTATTATTATTATTATTAGGGATTGGCAATCAAAGCAAGTTTTTTTTATAAGAAAATTAATGTTTGTGGTCCGACCTCGTCGTGGCGTCGGACGACGGGAAGGGGGGTCCGGCGTCGGACGACGGGAAGGGGGGTCCAGCCTCGTCCGACGGAGATTCACTACCCCACCCGCTTTCCGCACCCCCCACTCCACCCCACACCCGTGGCGCCACCACTGCTATATTTTGTTACTGTGATCCTCAGAGGACAAGATCTTTTCATTCCTGAGCAGTCACTCGGGATACAAAATAATAAAACAAACAAACAAACATACATCTTACAATTGTCTTACCATGAATTTGTGTATAATTTTGATGGCCTTACATATAACCGGTAGTAGACGATTGTTTGACTTTTGTTCCGTAGGTGAAGAGACAATTGATGCTGCCTCAAACTTGATTCATTTTGACACGTCTGTTTACCAGACACAAATAATTATTACCAGCATATAATAGCATAGGTTACCGTACTGCTACCATAAGACCTAACATGTACAATGAAAATGCCATTAGGACAGAATTTTGACACCAGCTTCTAGAGATTGTAGCATTGTATGTAATGTGCCAGTCAAGTATTAATACATCCATTTAAGGCGCGGATCCAATAAGGGCATGGGGACCGTCCCTCCCCCCCCTCCTTTTTGCCATTGATAAAATTCTAGATCCGCCCCCTGCATTTCACTGTAAATGTTGTATGCATGATCAAGCACCTATAAATGTACATTAAGTCCTTGGTATGATAGCTTGAAATTTTTACCAGAGATTTACTAAGCGTAACTAGCCTATACAACTTTCCCTGGCGCCTTTCATCTTATATTTATGCCCGGTTAGCTAAGTACAAAATACAAAAGTAGTCCGTGTTTTTAATTCAGTTATTTTCTCCGAAAGCCATCAAAGATAATTATCCACAATAACAGTGTAAACAAAAATCAAACAAGATGATATCGCGTAATATCACGGTAGTCCGCAAAGCCCTCGACCCATAGGGCCCCAGCCCCTAATGACCCCATGACGGACCCCATGACGGGCCGATAGAAATGGCTCAACTACTGGCCACCGAAACAATATGAGTAAGCTTATCAGAAGCCGTTTTCCGGTAGCTAAATGACCGTCAAAGCCATGCTTCGGAGGAAGAAACGTTTGATGCTGTACAAATGAATTTCTAAATCTAAGTCACAGAAAGATTGTTCAAAGACGTAGGCCTTTCGACTGCCGCTAAGATACTTCTTGACTTTACCCTTAATACTTGTTTACAATATAGGCCTAATGTTTTAATTTAAGCTAGGCTCAATGACTTCAACGCACATACTAGATTGCAAGTAGTATTATGAAAGTACAGTAACTGTACTTAATTTTAACGCTTTATATGCCAAATAGTTATATTACGTAAAAATACCTCCATGCTATGACTTTTTCATACACTGACTATGAATTTCGCACTGAAAGCAAAGATCGGATTTGATATTTTTTGTTATTATTTCTACATCGACGCCTTCGTTAATTCTCCCCGTTGCTGCTTATATCCATGTATAACCACAGATGTGGTAAAAATAAATCTGTTTAGTATTCATCACTTATGGCCGCCCTTGAACTCCATGTGTGACGGACATGATGATCTTATAATATAAGTTTTTTTTTTTTTCAAGTTTTGCTTGGAGCTGTGAGGTACAAGCTTCGTGATACGGAAGATGTGTTCGTTGATGGCGGACTGCTGTGTAATTACCCAATCCATGTCTATGATGGTAGGTGCTTTATTATGGATTAATTGATTGATCGATCGATTGATTCATTGGTTTTTCGTCGATTAATTGATTTATTGTTTATTTGGTTGATTGATTGATTGACTTGTTTCATTAATAATCATTAATACTACGAAAATATTTATAGCGTATTACCAAGTCAAAAAAGAAAGAATAAAATACCTCCATGGTGTGACCTAGAAACATTTATTGTTTCACATTATAAATTAACATTGATAGTTTTTTATTTCCTTGAGAAACGGGGATTTCCCGAAGCATAGCTTGTACAGAATTTGAGGAGAATCCTTGTTGCAATAAATCACATATACGCCCTTTGGACAGGAAAGTCGATATAAAAATGATTTAAACAGGCTTATAAAATCATTGTATGTTTCTCATAGAAATAAACTTCCACAAAGTATTTTATTCGGCAAAGAATAAATAATTTTATATAAATATAAATACTAAGGTAATTTTAAAAATTTTCTTTAAATGATATGGAATTCCCTCAAAATAATATACTATACAATTATTTGTATATATCACGCACTACGAATAGGCGCGGATCCAGACCTTCGCACCGTTTGCAAATTTTTAGACCGGTCAACAAAAACAATTTTAACAATGTAATGATCGATTATTATTTATCGTTGTCTGGAATTTAACAATGCAACGCTGACCCCCCGTAAAGTAGTAATAAATCTCAACCTGGTGATATTTAGACCTAAATATTAAAAATGCGGGTGTATGCTTCAGCACGATACTTTTTCACACGCACAATAACGGAGTATACCTTCATGTTTAGTCTTCCTTTGAATATTTGCAGATGGTTTTCTATGCCACATTTGTTATGATCATAATCCAGTAATCCAGAGGATTTTTTCTTTACAAAAACGCTTTATTATTGTACTGTGCTGTTTTGCTTATTGGAACAGTAAATCTGTTAAAAGTAAATACGTCCAAATTGATATACATCGATATGCCTAACAGTGTTTAAAGATAAAACTACTTTCCACAATAGCCTAAATGTAGTCTCTAAATGGTTGCTGCTGTATTATTATTATCATTTTTTTATATATGATAAATATAAATATTTACTAAATATGCTCATAGTGGGATTTAAATCAGATACGTCGGCCATAGTACCGTAAATGCTCGAATAAGCGCCGCAGCGCTTATACAATTTTTGGAGGCTTCAGTGCCGCGCTTATTCGAGAGAATGTTGGTGTGGCGCTTTCCATGCCCGTTTCCCATGTCACAATTTCACGTATTCCCGTAGTTCAGTAGGCCTGTCAGAAACAGACGTTTATAAAGAAATGCGTGTGTCTTTATTGTGTTATTTATTCATTTTAACACTGTATACATATTTAAAACCCTGTTTCATTACACACATAATAATATTATGTACGGTACTCGCTTATTCGAAAGCGGCGCTTAATGAAAAAAAAAATCACTTTTCGCTTATTCGAGCATTTACGGTATTAGTGAAGTCCCTAGTGTCATTTCGCGAGATATTTAGGGTATGCTGAATCCAAAAATGCAAGGGTCCATTTTTTTCAATAACGTCTTGGCCGCCATATTGGAATTTCAAAATGGCTGCCATTTTAACAATAAAAATGACTATAACTCTACTATTAAAGCAGATATTGACATAATTTCAAGTGCTAACCCTATGTTTTAA